TTAATTATAACAAACATCTGAAGTCAATTATTCCCCAATACATTATGGTCTATATTCTAAAGTTTGATGATTTGATGATGTAACTAGTTGACTCACTAACATTACATCAGCAAGGCTACTTAACTAAAACAAACATTTGGGTTTCAGTCAAGCATGCCATTGATTTTGAATATGAAATGACAACAGTGGTATAAATGATAGAACACCCATTGATTGGTTTCAATAGCAAACATTTATTCCAGTCATTTAGACAATTCACAACTTGCCATCTAACCTGATAAACGTGCCGTGAAAACTCAGTGTGATTGCTTCATCTCTCTTTAAGCCATCAATACTTTGCTGTCTTGACCGTCACACACAAAAAATAACGTAAGTATTGAACCCTTTTTTCATTTGATCTCAACTGATGGTAAATCCATTTTTAACTTTTTTTTTCTTGCTGCATAGAATTCATACAGCTGATCACAGTATCAGAAAAACATTAATGATTCATCCAAAGACAACACAAGAGGCTACACATGCAGAGAGCATCCATTCACAGTTCTACCCATAGGATCTACATATTTACTCATGTGTCACATAACACTTTTTGATTTTCACAGGCCTTTTGGGACGGACTCTAAATCAGACAAATCTTATGAAACAATGCCATATAAATATTCTTTTCATATCCTTTTTTTAAATATCCAATCTATATATAATATATATCTAACTCTGGAGGGATTTCTGTATTTCTATTCATCATCCTAAAGGGAGAATGGACACTGTTAAGGCTTTGATCTAAAGAATATTCCTTGTATTTTGCACAGTCATACAAGTTCAGCGTTTGTCATACAGACTGGTTTCAGATATATCTTGTAAAAAATGGCAGTCTTCTTTGATATGTCTGCTATAAAGAGGCTGGTATGAAATGTTATTCTAAAGCAAATGAGAGCTGTATAGTTTTAGTTTTTCGCAGCGCTTTAGTCAGTTAAGTCCTATCAAGTATGTAAGCCAAAACAAATATTTCAACAAAGTAGGCCAATTCAAGATTTAAGTTGATCTACAAGTTAAGTTGTAGACTAAGAAAACACAAGAGAACAAAGGATACATCCTATGAAATCTGCCCTGTCATCAAATCTCATTTGAAGACCCAAAACAACAATGAGTGTGTCTTTATTGCAGGTGTTCTGTGTATTCCTCTGTGTTCAATTATTGTCCAGTAACTTTTTTTAAACAAATCAATGATCCTTCATTATGATTAACACACACAGAGCACAAGTTGACGCAACCACATATACCTGTACTGCTGCTTCAAATGCTACTACTACTACTACTACTACATCCTGTTTGTGAATTAAATTGGATGTTTTTGAGCGTGTTCTAAACTGTGTTGGAGAGCCACAGAGAGAGTAGAGAGCTTTAAAAATATAGGGCAAGGGACTGGCACATTGTTGGTTTTGGTCTTTTGTGGGATTTGTTGATCACATTAAAAAAATATAGTTTAACAAAAAGAAACAAGCATGCATTGTACATCGCCACTGATTGTAACTCTTGATAAGCTATGCTCTACTTATCCATTCACGGCTGTTAAAGTAAGTGCTCTTTTGAATGCACAATGACACAGAAAAAAATATTCAGAATACTTCTCCGTCAAAGCTGAGCTGGTTATGCCATCGCCAGTAAGATCGTGCAGACGTGATCATTGGCCAAAGACAGTAAACATGTCTGGAGTCAACAACAACAACAACAACAACGAAAAAGTTGCTAAATCTTCAATGAATTGTGTTCAACCTATTCTCACAATGCGCTCAGACATACTATGTTTTAATTTTGAGTGCAGCCTAAACTTGATCTAGCTATTCATAGCCTTCAGTCACATTGATTAGCGCCGAGGCCTGGAGGGCAAAAAGAGCTTAGGAAACTGGCAGCCACCATTAAACAATCTGTGGGTTTTCAGCACAGAGTTGTAAATGTTCCATCTCTTAAAAATGACACTTTAACATCACCTGCAGAAAATATAGATATTACAGTGAGATAAATTGCAAGTTTTGGGAACTTCTGACTCTTATACATCATCCAGACACTATTTGAATAGCTAAACACAACAGCACAATCCTCCCAAGAACTTGACTCTGGCAATGTTTACATATATTAAGTGGAGAATCCTTCCCCTTACACAACCATTTGGTTTGTCTGGGTCAATAACTCTGCCATTTGGGGAGTGAAGGACAAGAAGTCCATCATCAAAGACTAGTGCTAGTTAGCTAAAATTAGCTAGTTCACGTTACCTGACGTTAGTATCCGGATCAATGTCAGCTGTCACTGACTGTTCAGTCAGTAATGTTAGTTAAAAGGCAGTAATATGTTACTCAAGTTAAGACTATATTTTGTAGCAGGAGACGTCTGTTCTTTTGTTCCCTCAAAGGAGAGCAGAGCATCTAATCCACAAAGTGAGCTAATCTCCTCACCGGTTAGTGCATCCTATTGAACAACAGCTGTCTTTTGTTTAAAAAAAAGAAAACAGACTGGTGAAAACACGTAAGTAGCAACTGAGACTGGCAATTTCTCCATGGCGTGCAGAAGTAGCCGTTCTTGCCCTCCAGGTGGGTGCTTCCATAAGTGTGTGACATAAGGTGAACGCTATGAATTGTGATTATAATGGGCAGGGTGCAGGTAAAAATCAAATTAACCAACTTGCTTGAATAACTGAAACACTCAAAGGTTGACAGTTCAACTAAGAAAAACAGATTGTATTAAAAATATTCTATTAATTTGGTTACCATAAGAAACATATTTCTTTTGAGAGTTTGATTCCCCTTGACTGAAAGAGATCAGCTATTGTTTGGCACGGTTAAGTAATATACACATTACAAATGACTGTAATGCAAAGTGAATGGCAGGGGTTTATAGTTCAACAGAAAACCAACCTGCAGTCATGACATAAATAGGCAACAGTCCTCAGATAAAAAAAGATTGTCTTATAACTCTCTCTATGATACACTAATTCCAAGAACATACCATTAAATACATGTGTAAATTAAAAATAAAAGTACATTTATGATATAAATCTTGTGATATGCACTATATAAAAGTGACCATGCAAATGTAACCTGGGTAAAGAATAAATCATGTACAGTATATTGCAAGCTTGCTATATAAACACTCTAAGTTACATGATGATTAATATTTTTTTTTTTCAAATTAAACAAATAAGAGCTTTGGCAAATTTTCTCACATAGTTACACTGGCAAAATATTTTTTTCACAAGACAATTGCTGTCAATTCTGGAGGTTTTGTATCAAATATAACTTATGTACAGTGGGTGCTTATTTAACCACTGGGATACTAATAATATGCACCATTGTATAAACCACTGTAAACAACACGTTTTGTAATTCTTCAACAGTCGTCTTTTCGCTTTTTCAAACATTTTGTACCCTGTACGTCTGCGTCTTTGAAAAAAAGAAAAAATGAAGAAAAGGATATTAGTTGGATACATAGTATATATCACCTTAAACAAATCACATGGTTTCTGGTTGAATTGGTGGCCTCTATTTGCCTCTACATATAATTGAATACACTTGGTTAGATTTGGTAGAAAATCTGCTGGTTGCTTAATGGCACTAAAGGAAATTAGAGCACAAAAAGTGGAAGAAGGTTCTGTCTTTCTAGTGCATACAGCAGAGGACAAGGGGAGTGCTAAACCCAGCAAAAATCACCTGTTACATGCTTATTCTGTTCTGAATAACCAAACATACTGAAAAGTCTTTATTCCATGAAAACTATTACACTGAGGTATTCTAATGTGACAGCAACATCCATTTTGAAAAATGCTACATGTATCACCTTTAAATGTAGGCTAGAACTAATTGTGTTGCTTTGTTACTGATGACCACAGTGCTTTACATCACGCTTATAAAGAAATAAGATTTGCAAATATTTTTTTAAATTCTTATAAGGAAAAGATATGTTTGTCGGCTGTTTAAAACCAGAAGATAAGAGCTATATCATTCTCATCTCTGTGCATCCAGTCCAGAAGTATGTCTGGGATATGTTTAGCTTAGTTGAGACTGAAAGAATGTGAAAACTGGAAGCCTCAATCGCAAATTTGTGAAAGAGAAAATCTTCAAACTACGACGTGTGTTTCATGACAACATCGACACATAAAGAAAAAAAGATATGGTGTTCTTCTTGTTAAAGTATTTTCAACAATTTTCAGACAATTTTAAGGCCAACAGCCGCTGAGCCCATACACTCCAGGCAGCTATATATCTTTGTGCTGTGCTCTGCAAAATCACATCCCAAACTACCTACAGTATCTCTTTTGTAAACGCTAAGAGATAAAACTGACAAAGAGTTGCAAAGTAGTGTTTTCACACCGTACTATATTAACACCCTTTATGTCCCTCACCATGAAAACATTAAATGTCATTTTTGGGAAGCAGTTTTTGCATGGAAGATCTCCATACCCATCCAAGGCATGGAATTCCACCTATCACTGCCAGTTGTGACATATGGGGTTTATTTCAGAACCCTGGTCCTACCCACAATACCTTCCCTCAGGCCTTTAGCTTTGGATTTGACAGCTACAACTTGAATTCTTGAAATATTGATTTGAAAGCTAAAAAAAACAGCTTTTAAGCAGTTTAAAACCTGCAAAAAAAGGGAAGATTGAGGTCAAGTATTGCAGTGAGATTAGGATATGTACAACTTATCTCATGATAAGAAGACACAGTATTTTACTGTTTTTCTGTTTTGTTTTTTGTGCTGTAGAATGGGATTGAAATTGACGTCCAAATGTAAGGATATGCAGATAAGGTCAGGGTTTACAGTATACTAGGTACAGTAAACACATATTTCAGTGCAAGTCACAGCATATTTTACTTCATAGCTACAGAAGGAATGCTAAGCACACTTATGGTTCAAACAGTTTTCTGTTGAATATGTAGTATTATGTACAGAAAAGAGACAAAATACAAAACATATCTCTATATCTTTAACATATTAACGTCATGTTGTTCACTTTGTAAAATAAGTCATTCTTTATCTATTCAAATGATACAGTATTATGTATAGTAAATAGTATTTTCTGGTGTAGCACCCTTTTCAAACAAACACATTATATATACAGTGCAGGGAAGTTAACACTGGTTTCACAGCTATGGTACAATTATTTTGTTGCAGTTTGCTACAGTTTAAAAGTTACTGTGCTACTCGATTTTTTTCTTTTTGTTTTGTGATGATTTATATTCAAAACCAAACAGGTCTGTTTAAAAAAAGGTTCTCCTGCCTCCATGTGACTGGCACAGAATAGACATTACACAATGTTTCCTTGGGAGTGACCACAAAAGGACACAGTGATTATTTCTACACCACTAAAAAGGTTGTGATTACGTGTAAATATGTAAAAATCTCATGCTTCATAAAACCTTTTTTTGTTTTCCTTCTGAAATTATTGTGATATATACAATGGTGGTAGGTACTGACAGTTGTCACAGACACAGGGTTCTCTACAAATCCAGCTGTCTTGTATTATTAGCTACAGCTTCTTAAAAGTAATTTATGAACTAGTCCTTAAAAACAGGAGTTATTGACGTTCCCTTGTAGAAAATGTTTCGGGCGTTATCGGGGCTGTTGGCTCTCTCTGGAATCAGGATGATATTATTGCCTTTTCTCCGTAGTGTTGACTCACGACTGGAGGCTACTGAGTGGGTTTCAGAGGCAGATTCACCACCTCCTCCTCCGCCACCAATTCCAGATACAGAACCACTTCCATCCCCTGGAGTGACCCTTATGGTAGAAAGGCCCTGGGGATGAAGCCTCTGCTCTGACTGGCTGGTGCTCTGGGTGTGAACAGTAACTATAGGTGGGGTGCTAACAGTGGCAGTGGTTGTAACAATATGATTGGCACGCTTCCGGTCAATGGACCCTTCACGATATGAGTCGGAGCTTTCTGAGTCTCTATTAAGATCATTGAGCTCAAAGGACTGCCTCAAACTACCACCTCCAACTGATCCACCTCCTGCTCCACTTGTCCCTGAACCTCCACCAGCTCCTGTGCCATGGTCCAGGGAACGCCATCTCCATGATCCAGTTCCATCTGTTGAGGGAGCTTGTATGATTGGCCTGTTGGTTTCAGGGTGGGCCTCGACTCTAACAATTGCTCCAGTACTTCCTGAAATGCTGCCTGTGGTGCTACCAAGTGAGCTGGGACCTGTGATGCTGGTGGGATCTTGATCAGTCAGCGCTCTGTAGCGAGCTGAGCCTTGGCAACTCCCAGTTGTGCTGCAGCCAATGCTGCTCTCATCTAAGCTCTTGGAGTGGGTCTGTAGTAGACCCTGCTGCTTTGACATAGCAATGACTTGCATAATTCTTGGCTGGGTGTTGTGCCCATTATCATTAGTCCTGCAGGCCGCAGTCTTCTCTGCTGCTCTTTGCCAGTTAGCCTGAACTGTGCTATTTAATGTTGACATCCCATCACTTCCTCCTCCTTCACTGGTCCTTGGAGATGTAGGGTTGTAATTCTCGTGAGCCTCCTCTGGTATGTGGACCAGCTGTGAAGATCCAGGTCTAGATTGCATGGATATCCTTGCTCCTCCAGTGATGCCACTGCAGTTACTGGGCAGGGTGTTACAAGCCCCTGTGGCCAGCTTGGACATGTATGCATGTGCATCAAATCCTCCGTTCATGCCCATAGCTGACGGATCTGAGCTGGATCGGAGCTCCATACTGCCATGGTGGTGTGGATGTTGGGAGGGATGGCCAGATGAGGAGTCTACAGAGGAGGAGAAGGAGTCTGGGACCTGCAGGGAGCATTTGTGGTTGTTCTTACTTTTCCATTGAGACAGAAGTTGCTTTGAGCGACTGGAGTCCATGGAGGCATGGTGAAGGGTGGCAGCATGACGTCTGGCTGCTTCCTCATATGCAGCCATGGCCTGGGGGGTATGGACCCGAGGAAGGGTGTGGCTAAAGGTCACATAGGCGTCTTTGCTCTGAGGGCTGCGTGGGGAGATTACTTCAACATCTGCACTGGAGTGCTTCAGACTGTCTTCAGGCCTTTGCTGCTGAAGACCTCGATGCAAGAGGGCCCCAGTGGGGGTGATAGGTATGCCAGGCTCCCCGGCCAGGCTTGCCTTCATTTGCAGGTGATGGAGCACAGCCTCCTGGCTAATGTGGGGCAAGGAGCATGGGGGGCGGTGTAGGGGTGGAGGAGGGCTGGTGCTGGCTTCCTCACTAGGCTGGAAATTTCCAACTGCATACAAACCCTGGCAACAAAAGAACACACACAATGAGTTCAGGACAGTTTTATTGATGATTGTTTGTCTTGACAATATAATTTTTTTTTGTTGAACCACTTTATAAAAACTGAGGTTTTAGATTTAGATAGTCACCTTGATTTGTTTCTATAAAACAGGTTTACATTTGCTCACATAAATTTGGCTCCTCATAACTCTGCAGGACCTTTATCTGTCAGTTGGTAAGCTAGCCACTTGCACGGATATATTGAAACATGTCACCAGCGTTGCATTTGGTACACTTATTCATGACCCACAATTTTAGAAAATTCCCACACTTTTACATGTACTCTTCTGCTACCAGCAGGTTGAATGTTAAATGGATTAAAATGACATATGCTGGTGACAATTAATCGATGATTCACACATTTACTGATTCATTGAATTCTTCAGAAAGCTGTGGTGAGCTTCAGACTACCGTCTTGTGCTGTCATTATGTGCCAAGTTAAGATGTAATTTAAGGCCACATATGTACTGGGCTCATAACATATCTGTTCAATTAGAATTTTTTTTTTTTAACACGCTGATAGGCTACGCTGATAGGCTGACCATGGTAAACACAACACGACTTTAGCATTCTAGCTTTATCCTTGCTGGTAACTGTTGGATTAATCTGATAGCACTGTAGCTGGCGTACCTTTGAAGTCTTTATCTTTGATTCAGGCATGTTTGACCACATAGGTCTGTTTCAGGTAATCGAACAAACTGGCCTCAGATGCTTTGGTTGGCTTTGCTCTGTATTGCGCAAAGTGGGACCACGTATTCCCAGCTCTTGATCATCTGCTCACTGACCCAAGGTTTAATCTTTTTTGTTGTGAAATGTTTTGAATGAACCCCCCCCCTCCCAAAAAGAAACTTAACAATGGCTAACTGTCTCAGCTCTGCTTTCAATGGTCATGAATGAATGAAATACTTAAATCTGGGACCTTACCAGGTACACAGCAATAGCACCACCAAGCAGGAAGCCCAGGTAGACGTCAATAGCATGGTTCTTATACTGGATAATCCGGGTCAGACCACAAATGATGGCACAGATAATGAAGGAGAAAACCAGCAGGGGCTTGAGCAGTTTGGACGAGTCAGTCAGAGTGCTGTTGAAGTACATCTGAGGACACAATGACACATGTACTGATTACTGATCTTCTCTGGAGCGACTTCTCTCTCTATAGTGTCATGACTGTTAGTGTCACACAATGTTTGAGTCACCATTTTCAAACCTTGTAAAATTTCATTTGGAAAACATCAATATATGGGTCAATCTGTGCTTTGGGTATCTAAAGATCTTTAAAAAAGGAAGTCAGTATTTATCCAATAATGACCAAATTTGTGTTCTATCTGTTCTTTTGACCCAAAAAATCAATCCAAATATATTTGTCCTAACAATTAATGCATTACATCTTATACTTAAGGGGGCGCTGGTGGTGCAGTGGTTGGTGCGTGCGCCCCATTTATAGAGGCAGTAGTCCTCCAAGCGGGCAGCCCAAGTTCAAATCCAACCTGGGCATTGGTCTGATCAGTATGCTTAATTGCAAACTACTTGCTGTCTTTCTTTCTTTATTCCTGAAAGGCTACAATTCAAGAATCTTTAAAAAAGCTATAAAAAAAACAGCATGGTAGAAAGAAACCATGCAGAAGACTAAATCTCGGCTGATTCCATCATCCACCACTAGATTTTTCGATCTGTTAACTTCCACTGATACATTGGGCCTTATGGGAGGTTGAACAGGGTTCAGTGTTTGTGTGGGCTCAAAACCATTACTCACGGAAACATAGACAGCAGCGAAGGATGCGAGGGTGGCATGCTGCGACGGGAAGGATTTTCTGCAAGAGATGAAAGAACAGAAATAGACTCAGCCAATGTTCACATCTGTACGTGTGAGTCAACGGAGGGTGGAGAGAGGGTTTAACCACTGCCAACTTTACACAAGCATAATGAGGTATTCTAAAACCAACATGTGCACACAGTCATTTGATATGGGTAGAATTACTGAACCAATTTAGATACATCTTTTCATGTCTTTTTACCCTTTGTCACCTTTACTACTCCCCTCCAAAAAAAAAATAATAGAGCAAGGGCCACAGCATTAAAATGACGACGAGAGATTCTCATGCTACAAACCTAGCATCAACGTAACACAGACGCACAGTGTAAATGTCTAATCTTCAGTCATATACTGCAGTGAAGCGGCAGGAGTTTCACTGTGTGCGCTTCATGATGAAAGTGAACCTGTGGCCCAGTTTCTCACTGGCTCCAATCCCATGACCTACTTCTGACAACTCTTGGTACTCTCTCCTCCTACCAGCCCTTATCTTTACTCCTGACTCTGCATGTGTGGGAATGTGTGTGTGTGTGTGTGTGTGTGTGTGTGTGTGTGTGTGTGTGTGTGTGTGTGTGTTTTGCTGCATGCATGCAGTTGTGTGTATCTTTGTGTGTGTCTGGTGCACATTATACAGTTGGGTATTCTCTTCCAGTATTTACAACATCTGTGGAGTTATGAAAAATTCATTTTCAAATGTAAACTGATAATACTGTTTTTTCATGAGCTGACCCACTTCTAGCTCTGATCAAATCAACACAGATATAAATGCATGTTTAATATACATTGCTATTTCTTTGTTAGAAATTTATTTTTTTATAAACACAGTCCGACGTTTCTAAATATCATTATAAAAAGAAAAGAAATACAATTTAGTTATGTTAATATTTTGCCCAAATGACGACTGTGGATTTCTTCCCCATAACGTATGATGAAGGTTGGCTTGTCTTTTAATGGTCTGAAGAAGAAATGATTGCAAAGGGCAAACATTTTTTTCATGTATGTATGGGGATTTATATGCTTTTAAATGACAGACAAAATAATTAACTGTCTCGAACTAGTACACATAACTTTCACAGCAATTAGAATTACATGAAATGTCTGTCCACTGTTCTTATGATAATCCTCAGTGTACCCAGTATTGAATGTAGATAGCTATACAAGCTGCAGTATTAATAGTTCTTAGTCATAATAATTATGGGAAATGCACAATTCAAACACATTCCACCCTGGTAAGGTACCGATCCTTTGGAGGCAACTTTTGTTGTCAAGGAACTGCAGGTCAAGATCTAAATTTCAAAGGCAAAATACAAAATACTGAGGAATAAAGGCTCCCCAAAAAGTTCAGTCTATGAAAATGCACATTTTTTGTCTTGCTAAAGGGAATGCTTAAGCATGGTGGTTTTTCTTAGTCATCTTGTACCTCAGTTAAAATAGGTTAATAATACCCCTGGTAGACAGCCACCGCAATGAAACCGCTCCCATGCTGCCTTGGAAACAAGATTTGAGGCTTAAGCTGCTATAGAGAGAGTAGAAGACAGTGTTTATGCCAGGAGCGGTGGGTTATATTTAGACCCCTATTCTCTACATTCAAATCCATGTGTGAGCCAAAAGCTTGGGTCAAACCTAGCCTTATCCCCCCTTACCCCACATCCCTTTTCCTTTCTACCGCCACTGACACACAAACATACACACACATAGACATAGCTCTCTTACGGAGACAGGATTCAAATAAATGTCACACAAACCAGTACCTGGTTTAATCCGATACACTCAGTGCACTAACGCTTAGGGGGCAACAAACAGCACAGTTGTCATTGTTGCCATCATCTAGTGCTGCATATATCTGTATTAAGTTTGTTAAGACAGACTACTAATAATATCATAGATAGAGATGCACTGATCTCTTTATTCTTTGTTTCAGATATCAGAGTGATAGATGTCTTGATCAAAATTAAATATGTATCATTTCTAAGACTGTGAGTCTCACAACAGATTACAGAGAAATCATGTAAATAAAGATAAAGGAACTTTATGATAACCCAGTAAATTAAACTTCACGTGTTTGATTCTTGCATGAATGTGAGCATCTAATCAACTGTTCAAGAATGAAAGAGAGGCACTTTAACTAATGTAAGTTAGTGGGAAAGCTTGTAGCCTAAGTCTGAAAAGACAACTGCTGGAGTAGTAGGGAGAGAACCAGAGAGGAGACGAGACCAGACACCACTTAAAAAAAAAAAGAGAGACATGTGGAGGTCACAGTGGATGAAAAGGCCTGTGAGTGAGAGGGAGCCCACACTGTCTGTATCTTTAAAGGAGGAAGGAGACGAGAGCACCCTGTTTGTGAGAGAAAATAGAGTGTGACATAAAATGATATTGCAGCAGCTCAATGCTCTACATTCTTGAAAGCATCCCCCCCCCCCACCCACTATTAAAAACCTGGCTTAGCCCTAATGCTCCCCTTTCTGTTTAGAAAGAGGTTTCCTCATATTGCAAACAGAAACTCAAGTTTTGAAAGCATATTTAATACATATATTTTCTATCTTTGATGACATGATTTAAGGTAACTGGTCTTTTTTTTTTTTTTTTTTTACTTTTTTTCAACCAACTTCCACTACTAAAATGAATATCACAAAGAGATTCCACACCAAAATAACAATCAGCTGAATTCTTCCACATACATCAAGGAAAAAGTGGGTAAATTAGATCTAAGGTCTATTAGGTTTAATGCATATAAGAGCTTGCAAATGCCTGACCCCTCTTCCACTCAATTTAGAATATTTGTCGCCAGAGGGAACACTATGTTTATTATAAGATGATGAAAGGTAGGTTAAATGTAACATGCTATCAAATTGTATGGTCAATCTAAAGCTAAATTATTTTGTCATCAACATTACAGTAACAGCTTTAGAGTCTGGATTAATATTGTGTTTTGTTTTTCCCTTTTTTTGTTAAGGTGAGGTTTGATTTTCTGTAGGTGGTCTTTCTGCGTCCATAAACTGTGTATGTTACAGATTCATACTACTGAATTATTCATCATTTTCTGTGCTCAGCGGTGTTTTAAAGTAAAAATGTATGTATCTAAGGACTAAATTGTGAACATGTGAAATGTTGGTGTTGAATCACTAAACACTAAATAATTGATTGTTTTTAAATTTAAAGAAATTTCATGTGTAATTTGACTAAGTTAATAGAACATCCATTTTCTAAATCAGTACAACCTTCCCATGACATGCGTTCATTCACCACCGCACATACATTATAGTCTTTAGTCCAGTCTTGTAAAATGCAAACTCTTATCGACCAGAGCAGCTTCTTACAGATTGAAACGAGTGTCTGTCTTTCTAGTTAGAGCAAAGATCTTTACGATTGTCTCCTCACCTGCCCTGGTTGATGGCCGTGGGGTCGGCTCCTGAACAAATATCCTCCATGATGTAGGGGTTCTGCTCACAGCTGACGTTAAGCGTGGTGTAGTTGGGTTTACATACGGTGAGGAAGTACGGTGTTGGGTAGCCCGTCATTAGTTGGAGGATGTCTGTGATGAGGGCCGTGGCACAGAGACCAAATGCATGAACGCCTGAAGACAGAGGGAATGTGTTGTTGAACATATACAAACCCTGCTGAAGCTACTGTTGGATGAGCTGTACAGGGATAACATACACAAGCTATGTCAATATGTGCATAGATTTTCAGAGCTCTAAAACTTTACAAGCAGCCTTTGGAGTGCACACACACATCACTACTGACTATAATAGTAGTCAGTGAGTTACTGAGGTTCAGGTAAGTGTACATAGATTAAGAGGGAAAATCGGCGTACCAACGAAGCGGACAGCTCTGCGTATGAAGGAATTGAAGTTGCAGCCAGCAGCGTTGATGTTAGCCTCGGCTCCGGCTCCACCCTTCCTCCGTGATAGACAGCAGAACAGGATGGCCTCTCCGATCATTATCTGTCAATACAAAACACAAAAAAAAACATGTAAAACACAATGACTTCATTGGTTGTTGTGTTGTTTCATGACTGGCATGTCACCTCCCCTTTCAGAGAACTCTTTTGCCCCTTTACTTAAACAGTTTGAGTTGCCTGTATGGTTTTTCCATGCAGCAGGCAGCTTACCCCAGCAAACACTGGATGAAAGGTGGTCTACATCCTGGACTACAGAAAATCAATGTGTTATTGTAATATTCTTATTACTGAATGCAACTAAATGCATGGTTTAACCTGTAATAATTCATAATGAAATGAGCCTTACTTAGACATGGATGTACACAGCAACATCTGAGGCTAGAAGCTGTTTTTATGTGGGCTGTATCCCATAGCTTGAGCTTTTGGCCCTCCAAGCTTTGGTTTGAGCAGAGGGCAGGCCAAGACTGCTCCTTTCTGTGTGATACACTCATACACACCAACACACACTACTCTAGACGTGACATATGGTACCGCAGGGGGGATGCCTGGCTACCTGCAGACCGTAGCTATCTAGGAAACAGATGAAATACGAGAAAATTGCAAACATGCATTGTATGATCACAGAAGTGAGGGAAACAATGGATGGAAAAATGAAAAAAAAAGAAAAAAAAGACGAAAGCAGCGTTGACAGACAGAAAGAGGGATTAGCAGTACTTAAAGGAGGGCCTCATGGGATCTGCATAACACTGACACTGACACAATGTAGGCTATATCGCGTCTAAGCCTTCTTCTCATTTTGTAATTTAAAAAAAAAAGGTCAAACTGTAAAATATCTAGAACACAATGACACCTTTAAAAGCCAATAGATGTATCCAATATAGCTTGTCTGAAAAGGGAAAATAACCATGAATAGTGATTAAGTGGAACTAGGTTCATTAAATGTATTATTGTTGGTAACTTCTCCACTTCACGGGTAAATATCAGGAGGGACTTGGTGGCCCCAGCTGCATTCAACGTTTTTATATTTACACAATTCTCTGTAAGAAAATATAAAACCAAGGGTGGTGAAGTAAGTATGTACACACAGAAAATTTGCAAAAGTTGCCATTACAACAGCTTATTAAGCGTATTAATGTGTGGAGGAAACATTTTATTTCCCAACATTATAGTCTGGGTACTCACTGCTTAGGAAATATTATGAATAACTACATAAGTTTTCAGAATTTAATGTATAAAGTACCATCAAATAACTTCTTTTTGTTTCTATGATTATGATTCTGTTATAAGGGCTGCTTACTATCAGGTAGTCAGGCCACATATTATCTATCCTAATCATGTGTTATTTAAGAAACGTTTCTCATGCATGGCAAAATCCTTATTATAAACAAATCTGTATTATAGCCATCAAACTTCTGCTTTATGATTAACACAGCATCTTCTCCAACCGTTGACTCAATTAGCGACATTTCTACAGATTAAGTGGTAATGTTCCTCGGTGCACATTACAGTCTTTCTATTTGAAACAGTTACTCAGCATTGTAACGGTAAACATTATCTTCACTGTGGGTGATACCTTGGAACAAATCTGCCCTTGTCAATTCATCAGTATTTGTTTGTATAGCAACCTATCTGCAACAGATGTTATCTCAAGACACTTTACAAAAAGAGAGACCTTACACTTTGTTATATTAAAAAAAAAAAAACCCCTACATTTATCCACCCTGAGCACAGCACCTGGCAACATAAAACGAGCTAGTAGCAGGCAGAAACCTCAAGCAGAACAAGACTCATGTTGAACAGCCTTCTGTGTTGGGGTTGAAATTGAGAGAGATGCAGACAGAGAGAGATGGATCGATGCAAATAAACAGAGCAACACAACAACAATGAATAACATGTATAGCTATATTTACAATGGTAGAAGTATGTGTCGTATTAGCAGGAACAGCAACATGTAACAATAGACTGATATCAACATCAGTAACTATTATGATAATGAAGAGTCTGACCTTTGCCCACAACAGTGTGATTCGAGTGTGACTCATTCTAAACTCTCACTCAAGCAGCTGCCATGTTAACCTGCAATGCCAGCTATGTTATCTTAATTAGAGTAGCATGAACACCTTCAACCTAACTGTCACATAAAATGTCCTTCACAATAATTAGGGCCCTGCAAACATCAGCCCAGATTGACCAATTTACCTTAAACCTGTTTCATGATTGAAGTATTTACTTATTTTATTCCAGAATCTTTTGATGGATATTGTATTGATGTCCCATTGGCTGCAGATTATAGGGCTTCTCTTGAATTGTGTTTTTCTTAAGCTATTTATGATCATGATACAAAATGTAGGGAAACTGTATAAACATTATACATGTAGTAGAGCACACTGTGGCCTTAACAGTGCAAACACTCCACTCATTTTGTACTCTATTGTCTAGAATGTCTTCCCATGCTGCATTTGGCAAAGAGGTGCAAGCTACACAACATTTAAAAAGGCCACATCATGTATATATCACCTTAACTGTGCTGGTCTTGATCCCACTTCTCATACAACAAGTCATGTTTTTCATGCCCAGGGGAGCACAGCAGGAGGTCCCCCTAGGCAAATAATGGCTCCACAATTTAGATGCAGATATTGATGTTGACATGTTTTACTTGCATCTGCCTGTATTTTGTTGCCTTATTGAATATCTTTGATATCTGAGAACATCAATGCAAACAAGGCATACAAACAAACTTCAATATGGACAACTATGCAACAGAAGACGTAGTAACATACCCTAAATTAAGTTGCTTTTAGGTCCCAGAGCAAATAGAAATAAAAAGGCAGTTAATATGTACAGTGAAAGTTACTTCAGCGTTCCATCCTATGTTTGTATTAGGAAGTCATTATAATCTTTAACTATGTATGCAGAAAAACCAGGAACACAGACAAAAAGCAAGGTGGCATGATACACTGAATCCAATATTTACAATGCAGCTGAGGTTGCCTGCATACACAGATTATAACTCCGGTCAAGCAGGTTTGCTTTCTAAAGCACTTCTTGAAACAGTAATAACAAAGTGATTCATATGCAATAGTTAAAAATGAATGATGGAATGGAGTGGGTGTTAGACAATAAGAGCAATCGTAAAAAAGACAGATTACAAAGAATAAAAAGACAAAACCTAAATGAACTTAAAGGAAAAACATAACAAGCCCCATACAGGGGCATTTAAACAAGTTTTTAAGACGTGGTACGGAACAAAGCATTTAAGAGAAATTGCTCCGAAGATCTGAGCAACCTTAGGGCATCCTAAAGTATTCGTTTGTAAGTTCACAAATATACAAGGGTAGTGTTCTACAGAGGCCAATGATCTGTTTCAGTCATATTCAGCTGAAGATAAGTCAGCAAAATTAATCTTTAACGCAGTAAGGCTACAGTGTAGAGTGTACAGATTTTTTTATGCCTTTATTGGAGAGACAGATTGAGAATGTGGAATTACATGCGGGAAAGCATCATTAGGTTTAAGAATCTCATTTCCAAGAGTCTTCTGGCTAAGACAGGCAGCAGCACAATTCAACAAGTTACAGACATACAATACACACACAATAAAACATTACAAACACCAAACCTGAGTCATCGAGCACAACCTGATGCATCTTCCTCTGACACCTTCAAACTACTTTTAAATGATTTAAAGTGATCGGCTCCCCCCAGACCCAAATCCACCTGCAGAACTCAATGAGCAAACCAGCGGTCTACATTTTGACACTTTGCTGGCATTGTCTGGTGTAGTTGGTGTTTATTGTATGCGAGTTGACTACAAAAGAAACTTTTAATTTCAAATTCATTAAGGCCCATTAAAAAAAAGGAATACTTCTGAGGGTCTCCCATCAACTTTCAGAGAGGAGATATTGACATGCATCTTTTTTATATAGATCTTAATGTACATGGAAGTGCAAGGCATGAAATCTGCCCCTGGTTGAGATCAGTAGCAAGTAGATTTTTTATTTTTTTTTAACTATTTAATTTTGGTCCTAGTAGTGAATATGTTAAAATCAGTGTCAGCAAGACTAGTTTATTAAAGTGTGGTGCCAAAAAAGGAAACACCTATTAGATGATTCAACTGATCATTACAAGAATTTCTAGAGGTGCCGGACAGCGTAGCAGCTTTGTGATTTACCCCATGCACAGAGACTATAGTCCTTGAAATAATAGAGGCATTCTTTACAACTCCCCTGTTCCAATCCTTACCGTAATGGCGGGTCCGGCAAAGGCTAGGCTAAGGAGCATCAGCAGGGGGATGACCTCATGGTTTGGGTCGATGTAGGGCAGGCTCAGGCTGCGGTCATGGCAGTTGAAGCCTGACTTCACGGGCTTAAACAAGTCTGTCCACTCCAGGAAGTACAGGCTGACCACGGATGATACCAGAATCGGCAGCTGTTGATGGACATGACAGAGGAAACAGAATGAGAGAGATATCAATCGGTTCAAAGTCATAAACAGCTGCAGCAGGAGGAACTTTAACAGATTGCCAATGAATAAATAAATAGATAAACAGGCAGTGAGTGTTGCAAATGGCCCCATAAACTTATGGTTCAGTGATCGTGTTAATTTGATTTGATAATGAGGACCAAAGCAGGGCAAATTGTTTGTGCGGCCAGAGGAGGGTGAGGATGGTGCTGACGGTTATGGAACAAGGCACGTGGAATGAACTGCTCACACTGAGCACAACTCAACCTACTGAATGAATTCTCCAGATACCAACAAAAGAAAATGAGAATCACCTAATTCATGTTTTAACAGCCAGCTTGAGATCTAATAATCATAAAACACAGTCACAACACAACAGCTCAATCCCTAGAATTCACAAGTGGGAGTAATAAAGCAAGTGTTTTTCCTGTCAGTTCAATGAATGAAAGTGCTTCAGCGGTCTGGGGTCTTGGTTATGTAAATTTCTGCCTCAGACATGCTGAATGGCTCGCTGCAGTGATTTCACCACTGACCTTTCACAGTGTCATCGTCATCGTGTGTACTACGAGTTGGTGGCATTTTGGAAGTTGGTATCCAATCTTTTGTAAGACAGAAGAGCTGAGAAGTCCTGACACACCTTTTCACCAAAGACACCACCACAACAACTAGTAAAGCACTGAACACACAAAGAGAGTTTTCTCTGTTGCTTGCCTGCACGGCTACTTTTGTACCGTATTATACCTTACATTATTCTATTTCCGTTCCTCTCTGTCCATCACTACAACTCACAGAATGTCAGATCCGCAGCAAAATGATATCTGACCTTTTTAGAATAATTAAAAGGATGACTATTACAAAAAAAGGGTAATAGTCAAGTTCAAACTGACAACTGGTTTTATAACCTCCCATTACTGCCCACTATGATTAGTGATATGAGCTGTGTTATGGCTTCAAACAAAAACGTCCAGGTAAGCCACTGCTGAGCCTGAGTGGGTTTAACACACTATAAAAAATTTTTTTGAAAAGAAAAGAATTTGGATTCCAAATTCAACTTATGAATTTATTCGCAGAAGGCTTCTCAGCCAAAATGAAACTCAACAAAATAAAATAACCAAATCAGGTCGCGATCATATAAAGGCTATCTTAAGCTGCCGTTTGCGGTTGAAAAAAAACTGTCCCGCTTCCCACTCTCACCAGTTTCCCCCAGGTGTCATTGATCACCTTTAAATTACCAACTGATACGCAGCGGCTCTCCAAAGAGGGAGAAATAAGACACAAATAGTCCAAATCAATTCATACAAGCTAAAACCAAAATAAGCCTGAATAAACAATTGTAAAAACCCAAAATACTGAAATGGCCCAACTGAGTCAAGTAAAGGAGAGCTACAACTCAATAAAGGACTGAACTGTATATCTCTTGGAAGAACTTGCACATGCTCCTCAACATTTCTCATTGAGACTTGAGACACCGATGACTCCATATCAACCGGCAACACTGCTCTTCTGTTGTGTCAAAATTCCCCTCGCAAATATTTTTTTAAAGCCCCCCCCAGGCTCCGTGGCGTCCCATTAAAGTGTAACAGGAACAAGTGAAGTGCATGTGTAGGCAGAAAGCTGATTGTAATTGAAGGCAGTAAAGGTTCCACAGAGGACTGCAGTCAGATGCGCCAGTGGGAGCTGAATGTGGCCTGCAGCATCACAGGCTTTATCATGCAGCTTAATACCCTGATTCACTGGTACACAGTGGCAGGCTTGCTGCTCGCTCAGCTAATGCTAAGTAGAGCAGCGTGACGGAGAAGGGCCCCACTAGGAGCCCAATACACGGGGATCTCTTCAAGTCAGCGCTCTCCTGCTGGGAGCTGAGCCACTTATACACACATTCAACCGCACAGAGGGCCTCTGTTTGCTGACTTCCTTGCTTTTGTCTGTCTTGATGTTCCTGCCAGGGGTTACTCACTTACAACACTAGTTTTCTTGTCTTGCCACCGTGCCGTTCTACCACAGTCATTCCTTACAAAGACAATGTTTGATTCTTGTTATGTGCAAAGCAATTTATTCAACATTATTGGTAACCTCTGGGAAATAAGGACATTTGGAGCAATGGCGAAACATTCGATTAACCGGCAAAGGGAAGGCAAAGAAAGAAAGAATGAAAGGGTTTGGCTGATAATGGTAAATGGAATTGAGCTTATCCTGCTTTTTTTAGTCTTCTGACTATTTAAAGCGCTTTTTACACTGCAGGTCAAATCCACCCATTCACACACTTTTGGCAGAGGCTCCTTTGTGAAGTGTGCATCAGTAAGAATTTATCCGAATCACACACACTCACTCACACACCACTGACTTGGCAGTGGGAGTAATTTGGGGATCAGCCAAGGACACCTCAGCATGTGATTGCAGGAGCTGGGGATCAAACCCACGACCTTCTGGTTGACTCTACTACTGAACCCCAGCCACCCCGATATTGCCAATGATTTTCCTTGAGGCCAGCATGGAACCCTCTACCATTATCATGCCATGATTTATCCCTTCCTTCTTATCCAATCATAATCGTTCTTATTTGATTATTTACTGTAGAACTTACTGTTTAATGTCGTGTTATGTATGTCTGTATGTCATCATCTGTGAAGCGGGAACATCAGATTAAAACAAACAAAGCATGTCACAGAGTGCCCCTGGGTTAGGGTTAGACCTGCTGACAGTGCAGAAACAATCACACTGGACTGCAGCACAGACAGATGTTATCAAAGATAATCAGCATCTGGTTTGGAAGTGGTTCTGACACATTCACTCGGTCATTACTCAAGCAGAGCGATTCATATCCATCCAGACTCAAGTTGCGCTTCAATGCCCTCCACTTCTATCCAGCTCATTGTTCCTTCAAAGTAAATGTTTGGCTCTGTGGTTAAAACGAGACTTATACTGTGGCTTTTTTTTTCGAACGCCATGCTTTTGCTTCCACATTGTCTGGGTATGACAAAAAAATGGAGCTCAGCGTAAGGAAGAAGGAAGACTTGGTTATATTCTCTCACACATTCATTCAATTTTCTTCATTCAACCCACTCCCTCTTCATCACTTCCTCGGTCTCCCTGCTCTGTTGATCAGCTGATCAGGAGTGTTTACTCATTAATTAATAAGCCAACCCGACTCTGCTGCGTTCAAATTTCAAAACCTGTTGTCTCTCTTTTAAAGTCAGTTTGTCATTTCAGTGCGATCGCTGCGACCCTCCTCCGCCCGAGTCACCTTCATTCCTGCTCAGCAGAGTTCAGATACAGACTCAGAAAGCCACTCCTCATCACATCCTGCATTCTTCTATCACCACCACCACCACCAGTGTCTAGTCTCCATAGGGGGGTATCCTATCCTGCTGTCGGCCTCACTACCCCTCCGAGTACATGAAGTCATCTTGATGGAGTCTAATCCCCAAAGATTTTGCACATGTATTTCCTATATTGTTAAATAAATAGCTGTTCACTCTTAATGAAGTCTCTCCTGATTGAACTGACATTATTAAAGTGACTAACAATTTCAAATTGATTTGGAGCAAGTCTGATTCAGTCTGTCGGTTAGTGTTTGCAGGAGATATCAACGTTAAGTGTTTGATGTGCAAAGAGTTTTATTTGAAGTGTTTAGAACCAACATTTTTGATATTTGCATCTGACAATGGTGACATCACTTCTGTGCTGCCAGGGGGACTGATCTAAATGGACTTAAATGTATTCTGAGGTCCAAATGAATTGATAAAGAACTGTTCATGAGTGTCTTACCATCAGATTGTGTTATCAGCAGTAAGATATATTAGTGACATTATCATAGCATACTTTTGACATTATTCCCTTATAGGCAAATTAAATAGAGGCAAACACCTGTAAAACTTAGATGAGTAACTGCTTTAGCTCTATGTAAATTGAAAAAAGTGAGACAATTACAATATGTACATTAAGTGGACATATGTAAAAATTCAGACTACTGAGAAAGGTGAGGATTTAAATAATAAAATGCCCCAGAATCTCATATTTGCCCAACACATTCTCACAAAAATGTTTACAGTCCTGACAGTCAAAGCGGCTAAAGAAAGACTGGAAAGGATATCTGAAGAATGGGCCCAATATTGAAGGTGAAAATGAACAATAATCTGACATGTGTTGGACACCAGGTACACAGCTGCTGGAGGAAGATATTGAATCTTTGAGTATACCTGACATTTGATACCTGCAGAAAACAAAATGTAATTCTGCCAAATAGAAAGTTAAAAAGGAGTTAAAAGACATCTTATACTTAATTCCATTTCTATCATTCATTTAAATATGCTTCTATAGTATCTTGAATAGACAACTTAATGCGTGACGCCATTCTCATGCAGGAATTATATTGGTGTAGGTTCTTTATTGAAACCAGCTCATGCAGCCCCCCCCTCCACTGCTCCACACTGTCCCCCTCCCCCCTCTCTAAGGTCTGTTTCCTGGCTTACTGTCAGCCTCCCTCACCTCTCGTCCAGCATCTCAGCTCGTGGAAATGAGAAATATAGGTCAGTGGCATCAGCATCAGCACCCGCACTGCTCATGCTCTGCAGATGAAGCCGCTCTTAGAGGAACACTCTCAATACTTCAAAGGAGATTTCTGCAGGATATTTGATGTCATATCCTGTTATTTCGAAAGTGCCGTGTGATTCAAGCAAGCCAACAGCAGTTCATCTTATTTGAAATACTTGAATCTCCCCACACATTCTTGCCATTTCCTTTAATTTGTTGTTGAGAAAAAACTCATTTCATCGCAAAAATGACTAGGGTACAGAAAGCAATTAACTCACTATCTCAGCAAAGTTGTGTGCTGTGCAGTTTAGAAAGAAGATAGCAACATTAGACTATCGTTAAATCTTTCCCACACAGAGTAGGTTAGCATAGTGTGGATGAGTTCTGAAAGCGTTCTTTGGAAGGAAACAGTTCTCATGTGCTAACAATGGCAA